CAGTAAGGAGACTTTGAGGAGAGTTTAAATTCAACAAAGAATGGAAATACAGTCAACTAAACAGCTATAACTTTCTTTTGTCATACTGGACGGGAGAGGAGACAGAAACCATTTCAGGTACTGAAATACTAGGTGAGATAGAACTACCTCAAGTTTTGTAACACAAAACTGCTTTTTTAACAGCTTACTAAAAAAAAAAAAAAAAAAAAAAAAGGCTCTTTCTCTTACTCTAGTCAACTGTGAGTAAAAGCAATCACCTAAAAGCTTATTTTTCTATGCCAGTTATCATTAAAAAGAAAATAAGAGAAACTACATACCAACATTTGTTATAATTTCATTAGTATCCACATAGATCTAATTTATGTGGAGGTTCTGTTTCCAAGCTGAGGATCAAATTAATTTCATCTGACAGACAATTGAGTTACAAAGGCTTTACATGAGAACGTTTCTCCAACAGAATGTAAACAAGGCACATGGATTAATAAGGTCAGACATACAACAGGAAGCTAAGTTATGGCAGAACTCATCAGCCAGCAACACATATAGCTAGACCTTCTCAAATGATGTGAGTTAGCATGAAATAAAGCAAAAGTTTTAAATTAACCCAGTGTTTTACCCTCTGGGCAGTAGAACAAGGAGTTAGAGGAAATAAGTTTATAAACCATAGAAGTAATATGACTCTCTGCAGCAAGTTGTAAAGACTTGAATTTCTCCCAAAGACTTACAGATTTTTACAGTGTTAAATATCACTGTAATTATTAAATCTTGCATGAAAAAACCCAGAGAAACAAACTGTAGCATAAATGTAACATCTGAGACTTAAAATTTATAGTCTGGGAACTGACTGAAGCCACAAAAGCAGAAGAGTCATGTAGCAAAATGGTGAAAGGGCATCCCTGCTAAAATCCTTGTGGAAAGTGCTAAGCAAACTGGAATGGTTCCAAAATATGTAGGTGGGATTGCTCTTCACAATACTGGGATTTACTCCATTATTGTCCAAGTGACGCATCTGAAATTGCCCACAATCTACTAGACATATTTTATTGTCAATACATTTTGCCCTGGCCTTTTGTCTCTGTGGCTACATGACCTTAGTTCACCTAAATTTCTAAAATGGTGGCAGCAGAGGGTCCTGATAACAGCACTGCACTTTCCATATCCAAATATTATGTAGACTCATCTGCATGTTTAGGAGGACAGTGTGTCATTGCCTTGTATCAACATTTTCTTGGTTAATCTACTGACAAGAGAAAGATACTGCCTTCCCTGCTATAGGACTGAGCTCTTTCTCTCTGTGACGCTGCCAGTTGCAAAATGACCTCGAAACTGATTCCCAAACATAGAAAAGCACCTATTTGAAGCCATGATGCTTAATTACATCAATCAATCCATGAATCCTGTTTGCACCTACTGTGGCAGAGCAAATAGACCTTCTTTCATTCAACAGTGGATTATGGCTAGATGGGTTTTGTGCAGATAAAAACACAAGGTTTCCACATTTGTATCTGGCATCTGTAACTAACGGGATGATTTCCCCTGATGCTGTAGTCCACCATTCTTTTTGACAGAAAAAGGGCTGTTCTTCCTGCCTTTTTATATAGAATATTGTTTAACTTAAATATTGGGTCAGGATTTGTTCAGTCAATTCACAGGAGTTCTTTTAATCTCAAATACAACCCAAGGCATTGTATTGCAGTATTTTGGTTTTAGAGCAGCCAGTGCCAGCTGCTTCAGCAGATTTAAGAAACTCCTTAGAGGACAAATATAAAATAATCTTGAATTCTACCTTTGAGCATTTAGTGAGGGACTGGGCTCTGAAGAATAGTGGTTTATGACTCCAGCATTTTTTCAATCCTGTCTAAAAATTGTCAGACATCCCCATTACCTGCTTAGCCATCTAGTGATGTTTTGGATCCTAAATCTCAACAATACCTATTGACAGGGATTTTGTAGGTTAGCTTAAGGTGTCACCCTTCTCTGCTCTTCCAAATATGCCATTTGCAATTGTCTTGTTTTCCATTTCACTGTTTTTTCCCTTATTTGCCTGCCATACCAAGATATATGCTGGAGCTCCTAAGCACTTTCTATCTTCTAGTTTTTTACTCACAACAATATGCACTAAATGTTCCCCCTCCCTCTCTCCTGGCTCCCCAGGGAAGGAAACCCGGTCATGTTGGCCAAAAGGGAGATGCTTTACCAGGTACCATGCAGGTCAGAGCATCCAGTTCCCCTAAATCTAGGCACAGCTCTGATGCCCTTTCTCTGTATTCTGTTTAGATAAAATTCTCTGTATAATATTGTACTTTAACATATAATTCCCTATATTTATCTCTGTCTTAATCAATGAAGTAATTCTCATATAAATACCTTACTATGCTCTTCAAGATGAAGCAAAACATACCATTGCTCTTTATTGTCTCCTTAAGAACATAGGATATCCTGTAATGCCAAACCAGCTGCTCTTTAATGTTACACGAGGGCCACAGAGCCTAGAAATTGTGTAAGCACCTAATTCCCTTAAAAAAATTAGTCACAAAAATAGCTCCTGAACTACGTGACCACTTTTATAAATGCAGACCAAAGCTTTTCTTTCCAAACAAAGTGTTCTGAAACTTGATTTTTGGGTTGTGAGTTTGCAAGACAAAACAGGACAATCTCTGTGTCTCACAAGGGTTCTTGTTCCCAATCAGCATAAGGAAGAGGCCCTTTCTGGGCCAAGCAGCCAGGAAGAGAGACAGGACTTAACAGCTAACAGGGAAAGAAACCTGTAAATTGAACTCCACTAGTGCTAGCAAGCCAAATTACAGGGATTATGGAGGACTGCAGGAGGAAAACTGGTGGCTGAATTTTGAGTTATGGGAGGAAATTTTAAAAAGTATGTTTTATAGGACACTGAACAGCACAAAAGAACTATTGGACCCCAGGCTAACAATTTTCAAACCACTTTACTGACAGCATGTCATAACCAGACCAGAACACAACTATAAATAACAGTAGGAAACCTACCTACTGGAGGTAAGTATGCCAAGACAGTGAGTCAGTGTTAGTCATTTGGTACTTTTTTTAATAATTGAGGGTTTTACCCAAATCCTACTGAAAATCACTCCTCCCTCTGTAGTACCAGGGGGTATTTTGTGTGTATATATGTGTATGTATTTTTTTCTCTCAGATTTCATGCCATCACTTTGCCTGCCCACAGCATTTAACAAACTTTTTAGCATCCTTATTAAAAATTAAACTTGTTTATTAAAATAAGTTCCCTCAGAAGTTTCTCAGCAAAGTGTCTCAGCCCTATGCAAAGCACAATTAGCACATGGGACAGAAAGTTGTGTGGAGACAACTTGTACTTTTTTGGTGACCTTAATTCCCTTCATCTTTGACTTGGTACTCCCTCTTCCGAAAAAGAAGTCACGTGTGTGGGGAGCTGCCTAAAGAATGGAGCAGAGCCCAGGAGGAACACAGGCACCATGGGCTATTCTCGGATCTGCTGTGGCAGGTCTGCATTCCCAGAAACTGGTTTCTGGAGAACCAAAACAAGGTGTAAGTTAATAACATACTTTATAGGTCAGCTGCAAACCTCTTTTGTCCCAAATGTGAAGAGCACCAGATGGGTGCAGTATTATAGGAAAGTCAGGTTTGGTCACACTGATTGATTAAATTGGATTTTTTAAGACCCAGGTTGATCTGAGAAATCCACAAATAACATACATCCACAGAAGTGTTTTCTCTTTTTTAAGGACAGTGAACTAACAGGGCCACTGAATTCAGAGTCAGACCTCATCTTTGTAGGCATCGCAAGTCCAGTAGGGAGGTAAATTTGGGTGAGACTAACGTTCTGCATCAAACTAAATACCATCAGGGAGCTTTTTTTGGGGAGTGGAGCTAAGCCACCTATACCAGCACAGTGTTTCCTAGCCTGGCTTTGGCCTGAGGCAAAGAGCGTGGTCCAGATGAGTTTGAGCTAAGAATTGAGAATTAACATGTGCCAGGCTGCCTTCCCAGTGGGTAGCTCAGGTGAAGAAGCCATGCTGCTTTGGAGGCTGCGACTTCAATAGTAAGGGTGTGGGCCTTTCTCTGCCAGAGAATGGTTTCAGACAAATTTAATTTACTTTAATAAGTTAATTTTAATTTGTATACATGGAGCTGTGGAGTGTAGGTGAAACCTTGGAGAGACGGGCACTGCAGCTGCCTTGGCTTTCCTCCTGCCCCAGGGGATTCAGATTTCCTTCGTGTTCATGGATGCTCTGCTGCTGCACAGGAGGAGCGTGTCTCCTGCTCCCAACTTCCACACAGTGTGGTAGCAAAGGGGGAGGTGTGAGGAAGCAGAGTGGCCATTGCAGGAGTGGTATCAACACCCAAATGCATCAGCATTACCCTGCACTGCTGGCTCCCTGCCGGAGGCCCCAGCTACAGATCAGCTTCTGGGAGGGAAGGAAACCTTTCCCAAAGGAGTAGGACCTCATGTAGAGACTTGCTGTCCTATCTCTGTGCTGGTGGGGAGAACCTGTGAACCAGGTGTCAATGACTGATGAAGGCCACTCTTTAGGCATATTTCAGCTTTACTCTGTGTTGATAAACCCATCACTACTGACCCACACAGGTTGGCAGGATGGGAAAAAGATTGTGGTACCTATGGTTGCGTATGTGCATCTAAGCGTATGAACTGTTTACCAGGTACAAACCCCCATCTGCCTCCTGCTGCTGTACCTTTGCAGTGGCTGTTTTGAGTCAGGACTAAGAAATCTGCTGAGGACCAGCATCTCTTGTGTAAACATACATGCTTGCAGGCAGGCACTGGGGCCCTATCAGAAAACAAGGTGATTGGAACGATAAAGTACCAGTATGGTCTTGAAAGAGCTGGGTTTGCTCAGAATGTGCAGCTTCATTAAGGAGGTTTTGTGGGTTAAAGCATGTTTGAGCTAGTAAAAATAAGTGAGGGGTAGGCCCTGATGCCCAGGCTACACTCCTAAGCCAAAATCAGAGTTCCTACAAGGTGAAGCTGCTGAGCAGAAATTTCTAAAATGCTTTAATTAAACCACAGAGGGGAGCAGGAGAAGGCAGGTATTCCTCGGGAAGGAGAGCATCTTGTGGTGTTCCCTCATGGGATTTGACTGCGACGGATTGGAGAGCGATGCTTGCTTCAGAGAGGACCTCTCGCCCAAATGTCAGCCATTGGCACCTTCCTGCAAAGGAGAGTAAGTATGCAGAGGTATTAGAGAAAAGACTACCCAGAGGAATGGTGCTGGGGGGCTGAGTACTACTCCCTTGCCATGTCAGCCCTCACTCTTGCTGTAGCAGGAGCCCAGTTGGAGGGGTGTCCCCAGCACCTCCAGCCCCTGCTCTCTTGAATATTTTTTACATGCTTAATTTTTTTGGAAGTGTTAAGTTGATTTAAAGTGTTCATCAAGGTAGCACAAAGAGCAAACAAGTTCTCCTCAGAAATCCTGTGAGTTCCTGCTCAAGGATTCCCTGTTGCAGGCAAAAGAGGCACCAGGAGATGCAAAAAGGGGATTTTCAAAGCTAATTATTTACTGTTTTATAGACTTTCAGTTACTTCAGCCTGGCAGGTTTGATAAGGAAGGCTGAAGCTTCAGCAAAAACAATTAGCATGACTTCTGTGAGATACTACTGAGTAATTGGGCCATTGTTTATTTCCTGTAAAGGGACAGATTACTAGAGAGGGGTTTGTTTGCTGTTTGCAGATTATTTTTGTCAGGGTGGATGCATTCACCAGGAGAATGGCAAGTAGGACTGATAATACTACAGAGACTCTCCCTGTGACAGTACAAGGATGTGCAGTTCTCCCCATCTTGTCCACTGTCTGGTACATCTTCCCTTCCTTTTATTCTGGAGTGTTAATAATGGTGATGATCCTAAGAGCCAGGTTTGTATTGGTATTATTCTGGGAAGACCGCAGGAGGGGAACAAGGGTGACCTGAGTTTAACACCATGCTGGGTTGGAAAGGGACAGACCACGGGGCAGATTTGTGCATCAGCCCCATAAGACTAACAAGAGGATGGAGTCTGTGTTGATCAGTATTGAAGAAGATGGTGGAAGAAGTAGCAAAGGTTGTATTTCCCCCTACTTGCAAGTAGTTTTCCTTTTCCAGTTTATACTGTGTCCTGCCACACATGAAATCGAACCCCTTTGTACGCAGGAATAATTCAGTTCACCTCAAACCAATTCGTGTCAGCTCTGAAATTGAAACATGAGAACTACTAAAAATAATCAGTAACAGGGCAAGAAATAAATAATCCACTGCTTTGTCCAGGGAGAAATACTTTCTGACTTGGTCATCAGCAAGTAATTATCCTTGCTGGAACTGGCTAAGAGGCTAGCATATCTGGTGTGCATAGCTGACCCTGTCTTGGGGACAATGGTGGCTTGGGATGCTTTTTGAGGTCTTTTTCAGGTATGATTTTAAGAATAATGCTATAGAAGTTATTTAGAAAACCTTTCTTTTCAGCAGAGAATGGCTTATAATTTGACTTTTTTCTAGAATTCCTGAATGTTTGAACACTTCAGAAGTTCTCAAGGCCAATATTCAACTGTTACAACTCTTGGAAGCATTGTGAAAGATAAAGACCACTGATACGAGGATGGATGGGAAACGTACTTTCTAAAATGCTTTAATCTAAACAAATTCTTAAAACCTGTAGGTACCAGTGCATCCCAAGGATGGGATGCAAGGCAAAAATAAGAAATAGGGCCTCTCAGGGCACTTTTGAAGTGATGCAAATCTGCACCAGGGAAATCAAGATTGCCACAGACCCTACAGTCAATTTCAACACTTGTACTTAGGGCTCTTCATTCCAGAGTTTCTTGAAGGTTGAGTGGACTGTATGGCAAAAAAAGAAGTATTTTCTGCACTCCTTCCCTGTGTGCTGGACCTCAGCTGGGCTAATTCTTTGCAGCTGCCTAGGCAGAGAGCCAGACCCTTCAGGTAGTGGATTATGGACAAAATGGAAGGAGGAGTTTTGGCATCCTCACAAACAGGACACGCTTGTACAGGGGAAAGCCCAGAAAATACCAAAGTGCCCAGTACTGCTCCCTCACATGTGCTTTGTAAGAGCCAAGATAAAGAGCATCCAGTGAAGCATAATGTAACAACTGAACTCCAAAAGCTAGACCATGGAGCAGGAGAAGGGATGTGGCTCAGCTCTGCTCTCTTCACTCAGGACACGTGATACATATCTTACATAGGGACTTTGATGTCTGTGCTCAGTAAAATTAGTGTAAGTGTTAAAAACCTCTTTTGTGCTATAATCCTGTCACTCTATGTCATCCCCCCATCTTCCCTCCCTCATGCTGAATAAACCTCTAATCCACTGCAGTTTGAGTCCTCCTCTCAGTAATTTTTTTTCTGTTTTCAAATAGTTGGTATCCTTCTGATTTAATTGCTTTATTATTATATTTCTCATCTCAGTTGGACTCAGTGTTTGGCACAGCACATTCACTTCCCCTAACAGATGCTGTCTCATAGAATCATAGAATGGTTTGGGTTGAAAGGGACCTTAAAGTTCGTCTAGTTCCAACCCCCCTGCTTGGGCAGGGACACCTTCCACTAGACCAGGTTGCTCAGAGACCCATCCAACCTGGCCTTGAACACTTCCAGGGATGGGACATCCACACCTTCTCTGGACAATCTATTTCAGTGTTTCACCACCCTCACTGTAAAAAATTTCTTACTTATATCTAGTTTAAATCTACCCTCTTTTAGTTTAAAACCATCATCCATTGTCCTATTGCAACAGGCCCTGCTAAAAAGTCTGCCCCATCTTCCTTAAAAGCCCCCTTTAGGTACTGGAAGGCCACAATAAGGTCTTCCTGGAACCTTCTCTTCTCCAGGCTGAAAAACCCTAACTCTTTGAGCTGCTCCAGCCCTCCAGTCATCTTTATGGCCCTCCTCTGGACCTGCTCCAACAGATCCATGCCTTTCCTGTGCTGAGAGGCCCAGCTGGACCAGAGGGTGTCTCACCAGAGCGCAGTAGAGGGGAAAATCACCTCCCTTGACCTGCTGGCCATGCTGCTTTTGATGCAGCTGAGGACACAATTGGCTTTCTGGGCTGCAAGTGCACATTGCTGGCTCATGTCCAGCTTTTGTCCCACTAGTTCCCCCAAGTCCTTCTGCACAGGACTGCTCTCAATCCCTTCATCCCCCAGCCTGTATTGGTATAGGGAGTTGCCCCAACCCAGATGAAGGACCCTGCACTTGTCTTTGTTGAACCTCATGAGATTCCCGTGGGCCCATTTCTTGAACTTGTCCAGGTCTCTCTGGATGCCATCCCATCCCTCAGGCATATCAACAGCATGACTCAACTTGGTGTCATCTGCAAACTTGCTGAGAGTGCACTCGATCTCACTATGTCATTAATGAAGATATTGATTAGCACTGATCCCAGTACAGACCCCTGAGGGACACCACTTGTCACCAATCTCTATCTGGACACTCTTCTGTCATGTGTCACATACAATGTCTAGAAATTTTGAACACAAGTGAAATGTAGAGAATTTAGAAATGATTGGACAAAAAAGCATTAGCTATCTCGTCTGCCACAGAGCTACTGCTCTGCTGCCATTTACTGGGATTCAGATGGGATAATCTGTCTCCCAGTCCTTTACTTAGGTTTAATGTCAACAGGAGAGTGACAGTAGGTTGGACTAGATGACCTTTAAAGGCCCCTGCCAGCGCACACTATTGTATGATTCCGTGATTCAGACAGGGATGCTGGTCAGTGCTGGCCCTTACCCAAGCCCAGCCCCAGAGCAGGCAAGCTCCCTGCTGGATGGGGCTGCACAGCAGGAAGGAGCTGTTGTTTCCTGCTCACTTTACTGGCTGTTGTTCTGCTTAAAATGTGAGGCCAAAAAGAGAAAGATTGGGAAAGCAGAGTCTATTTGGAAAGTTTCAAGTGTTCTCCTTGCTTATGAAGGATTAAGCTTGCCCTTGTCAAGCAAATTACCAGATTTGTGTTTGAACCATCAGTCACTGCCTGTCACCAGTTGAGGTCTAAGTGTTATTTCTTAAATGAAATCAAAAGTCTGTCCTCCTGCATGGAGAGCTGGCAGTCCCTCCTGTCTCCCTCAGCAGGACTGAATTTGCCCATCAGTTGGGCCAGGCCGTGCTGGATTTGGAGAGGTGAGGTCTGCAGGCTCTGGCTGAGGGCTGCAGGGTGACAAGGACCTCCCTGAAAACTGATCTGCCAAAATCTGGCTCGGATAAAACAGCCCAACCCATCCTGTAAAGACTTTAACTGAAAAAATCTTGAAATAATCACAGAGGAAATGACAGGAACTCAGGCCTCCCTTCCCGCCCCGGCCAGACACTCCCTGGCTCTTTTTCCCTCCAGCCCGCTTGACACGCCGGTGTCCCTGGGGAAGGGCCAGGGCTGGAGCTCAGCACGGCCAGGGCAGGCTGGAGCGGGAGGGAGGAGGATTGCAGCAACGTGCTTGGTGCTGTACTCCACTCCTGTAGGAGCATGGAAATATAGGGGCAAGTTCAGGGATTGCAGCAGCAGGAGAGGGAGGAACAGAGCAATTCCTCTGGCCTTAGTGACATTTTGCTTATTTATGCTAGCTGCAAATCTTATCTGGAGTCTTGAGAGACTTATGTGTGGCTTTCCTCGTTTGCATTTAAGAAGGCATTCAATTAACATAAGTGCTGAATACTGAAATGCCTGCTTTATGAGGGGGCAGGGCTGAACAGGTTAAAAATACGTAGGACTTTGGATTATATTACTTTCTATGAGTTTCCACCTCTGCTGTCCCAGACCATGTATCTCTTTCCTTATCAGTGATTAGATATAAAGAAACCACTTTCACTGTTTTTATCAAGAAGGTGAGGCCCTTGTGTTTGATTTTTTAGCTTGTGGTTTGTAACGTGTCAGTTCCTGGTGAGACAGTTTGAGTCTGGCATTGGTTTGGTATCTTTGTAAATTGCTGAACATCACAAGAGCGTAATAAGGAATATACTGTACATGCTCTACCTGCCCTCCATCCTGTCCATCTTCCTTGGATGACCCCAAACATTATTTTGTGTGCAACATTCCTCTATTACACACTTCTTCAATGCTGGTCTTTTTTCTGTTGTGCACTAATGTACTCCTGTCCCACAGCAGTTACAGAGGAGCAACGTATCAGTGGGCTGGCATGTGCCAGACTGGTCGTTGGTCTGCAGGTACAGTCCTGGACTGGGAAAATTATGATCTTGGGAGCTGTGTTCCTAATTCCCCAAAATTCACCTGAAAAAAACCTCCAACTTTTAGTCTGTGGAATTGTACAGACCGGTGACAGCAGGGCACAAACAGGAAACCTGAGAAAACAAGGTGTCCTCAGCAAAGATGCTGTAAGGTTTGGTGCTGAGTAGGTCCCCCCCTTCCCAAGGCCTCCTTCTGGATGTTGCCACCACTACCTCCCACTTGGCTGGTTTCACCCTCTCGTCCTGGGTGGTAGCAGCAGCCAGCAGGACATTTCCTGTACCTATGCAGAGCTCTGAGATTTGTAAAGCTGCTCCAGACTCCAGAGAAAGCATGTGAAGCCTGTGAAGCTGGTACAGAGAAGCTGTAGTTGCCTCAAGGCAGGGAAGGGATGCAGAAACCACCAAGTGATCGGGCCAGCCATGGGAAGAGTCACAGAAAGAAAGAAGTGAGCAGGCTTTGCCGTGGTCTTTGGGCATCTGCAGTCGCTCTGGGACTGTAAACCACTCGTGGCAGCAGCTGTCATCTCCTGTGAGGCACAGTGGGTAGTGCAGGCCACATGAAATGCATATGAATCCCAGTCCAGTCCAGACTGTAAAACTGGTTTAAAATGAAAACAGATATGGGCACTTCGGGGATGTCGCAGCTCCCTCTGGGCCTCTGTTGGCAGGTTGTCCTTGCTTGGACTTCCTCCCATGCCATGACACATCTCCCTGTTTTTGTTCATTTGGTGGGCAGCCTGAGAAGCGAGCGGCAGCACCGTGGTGCCCTCAGGCAGGGCAGTGACAGCTGGGGTGGGAATGGAAACCTCCAGCTGGCACTGCTCCCCACAGAGCGCCGTCCTGCCTGCCACGTTTTTGGTTGGTGCCCGATGAAGACGTGACCCCTTCTCAGCTGTTCGCTGCAGCTGCGATGCCAGGGATGCCCTCAGATCTGCTGTCAGGTCAGGGCAGGCACTGCAGGGACTCGCTAATCCCCTCCAGGAAAGTTCCTGCGGCTTATTTCAAATACCCAGTTTGAACTGGTTAATCCGAGCGGGTCGGTCGGTCTGGCGGGGCCGGCTGACACATGCGCTGCTCTGGGTGAAGGTCGGCCGTGGCTCCAGGGCAGTGACAAAGCGGCTGGTTCTGCCGCTCCCCAGCCAGACCTCCGCCTGCAGCTCTGAAAGCCTTTCCTCCAGATCCTGTGCAGTTCTGGGCCATTTCCCGTGCAGTTTTTAGTGCTTTTTGTCCTTCCTTAGTTCAAAACAAGACTTCTGTTGTTTCCCTGTTGAGAGTAGTAAAAGCTAGAAGGACATTCATCTTAAATTTCCCCTTTACACCTTATTATACACCTGGGTTACAAAGTAATTTATCGTAAAGAAGCAGATGGTGTGAAAATGTGACTGTTCCCAAATTCCACAGCATACTAGCAGATGCCATTTTAACCTTGACCTGTGTTTTGCTGTAGCCGGGTTTATCTGGCTCAGGAGAAATTTCAGGAAGTTGTGCAGAGCAAAAGGGTGCAGCTTGGCTTTTCATTGTTTTCACTGCTCATGCTTGTATACGACACAGGAAAACAAGGGGAAAATATCCTTTTGCTGGGACTCACTCCCTTGTTTCTCATGAACCCTGAGTTCAATCAAGCTTCGATAAAATGGATACTGAGGGAAAGCAGAACACACTGAGGGAAGGATGGTGCTCAGTGCAATGCACGTGCTTCACATTCAACCAAAGGTTGTTTGCTTCTCCTGCCTTCTTTGGGTAATTTCACTAGCATCTATACATAAATAACTCGCCATGGCAAACAACATCAACCATGAATCTACAACTCTTTATTGCTCAGGAATGTTCATCTAAAATTGAGGTTGTGTTCATATAAGCTTACTGAAACTTGGAAATACTTTTTCAGCCATATAACATTAATTATACTACATTCATATAACATATCTTATGTCAGCTGAAAGCCAGGCTGCTTTGTGAGCTGTTTGGAGTGTGCTGGTAAATTAACTCCAATTAATCCCCTTCCTTCAGTTTAAGTTGCTTCTCCCAAGTCATGGCTCCTCTCCTCCCTCCTAACTCTGTCTGTGACTCTTCCCCTCCTTCCTAACTCCTCTGCTGATGTTAATGCTTTCAGAGGAGTCACTAGATGACCCTGTATACTCATCTTAATTGCCAGTTTCTAACAATCACATGACTTTTTATATGTAAGTGGCAAACTCCCTTCTGTGAGCCTCGTGATGGGCTCAGGAACCCCTGGCAGGGAGGTGGAGGGAAGAGCTAGGGGCAAGCCCTTCTTGAAGAACAGCAGGAAGATTTCCTAAAGCCTGTCTGTCAGGGCTGTCTGGGTTTTACGTGCAGTGATACACATCTCCATACACATACCACTGTACTCAGAAATGCCCTGATCAAGGACAAATGTTGCTTTGCTGAAAATCTTGAGTCAAAACTTGAAATGGAGGCAGCTTGCTATGTACTAAGAATGAATGACCCTCCTACTTACACATTTTTGTCATATTTATCTGAGTAGCTTTAACTTCCAAGTGTATGGAAGGCTTTGTGTCAGATTAAAACTCTCTCTAGTTTCTCTTCCCTGTCTTGGGTAGCATTTACAGCTGACTATATGTCTGACTCACCTGATGCCACAGTCCATTGCTTTCAGGACAGTCCTGAGAATAGACAGTGTGTTTTGGACCTCCCATGCAGGTGCTGGGTGAGTTGTTCAGACTGTGCACAGTAACTAAGTGTCATCATGGGATCAGGATGCACCAGACTTACTCTTCGATATGTCATTCCTTTCAATCCCCATACTGGTGCTCCTCAATGGATTTTGGCACTGATTATCATGTGGCCACAGAGTGGGTTGAACCCGTGGTACAGCTGAGTGTGCAGATAGACAAGCACCAGTACTGACACCTGGAGACATGATGGAAGCAGGCAGGGGAGGGTAGGCCTGCTCCTCTTGACAACAGCTCATGCTTAGATTGACATAAACCAGCCATGACACTGCATTCTCAGTGATTCATCTGGGATTTTGGCATGTTGGACAGCCCAGGCAAAAATATGGCTGGGGCTCATGCTTTGATGAAGCTGATGAAGACCTGAGACCGGGAGACAAATTTCTCTGCTTCTGTCTGGTAAAAAGAACCCCAAAATCTTTACAAAACTGCAGCATATCAGTGTCTTTGACTGGGCCTTCACTTGACATTGATGGGATTTGGGAGGTATCACTGGTCTTCTCATCTAGCTAACACGATCTGCAAAATATTAATCTTGGTCTGGGCTGTACAGGGGCTCTGGAATACTCTGTCTTCATAAATACTTCTCCTCCCTTGACCTTTTGGAAAGTCATTTCCCTTCACTTCCTGTTGTATTCAATAAATCCCTTTGCTTAAAAAGGGTCTCTTGTTGATCCTAACCATCTGGCATCTGAGGGAGAGGAGAACACAAAGGAAAGACAACAGGTTGAGTGCTGGATTGTGGGTCAAACCCCTCATCTGTAAAATCCTAACGTAGAAACATGCTGAGAAAAGGAGGGAACAGAAGTGAGAACTGGGAAAACTTCTGCTTCAGGCTGTTGTTTTCTGGCACAGTGCCCAGCAGGCACTGCACCAGGCGGCTCAGACCCAGAGCCTGTTTTCCCTGCTGTGTGCTGCTTCATTTTCTGGTCTGGGACGACCTCTGCCTGGCATGTTCTTCTCCACACCCCTGGATGAGTGCTCTTTTTAGCTAGTTACTGCAGTACTTGGCATTAAATATAGTGAATCAGACTACAAAGTAGCATGAGTCCATCATCAGCAAATTTGCTGATGACACCAAACTGGGAGGGAGTGTCGACCTGCTGGAAGGCAGGAGGGCTCTGCAGAGGGATCTGGATAGGCTTGAGAGATGGGCTGATTCCAATGGGATGAAGTTCAATAAAGCCAAGTGCCGGGTCCTGCACTTTGGCCACAACAACCCCCTGCAGCGCTACAGGCTGGGCACAGAGTGGCTGGAAAGCAGCCAAGCAGAAAGGGACCTGGGGGTACTAATTGACAGGAAGCTCAACATGAGCCAACAGTGTGCCCAGGTGGCCAAGAAGGCCAATGGGATCTTGTCCTGTATCAAAAATAGCGTGGCCAGCAGGAGCAGGGAAGTGATCCTTCCCCTGTACTCTGCGTTGGTGAGGCCACACCTTGAGTATTGTGTTCGTTCTGGGCCCCTCAGTTCAGAAAGGATATTGAGGTGCTGGAGCGGGTCCAGAGAAGAGCAACAAGGCTGGTGAAGGGACTGGAGCATAAGTCCTATGGGGAGAGGCTGAGGGAGCTGGGGTTGTTTAGCCTGGAGAAGAGGAGGCTCAGAGGTGACCTCATCACCGTCTATAACTACCTGAAGGGAAGTTCTAGCCAGGTGGGGGTTGGTCTCTTCTCTCAGGCACTCAGCAATAGGACAAGGGGGCACGGGCTTAAGCTCCGCCAGGGGAAATTTAAGTTGGATATCAGGAGAAAATTCTTTACAGAGAGAGTAATCAGGCATTGGAATGGGCTGCCCAGAGAGGTGGTGGATTCACCATCCCTGGAGATTTTTAAACGCAGATTGGACGTGGCACTGAGTGCCATGATCTAGTAAATGGACTGGATTTGGACCAAGGGTTGGACTCGATGATCTCGGAGGTCTTTTCCAACCCAATCGATTCTATGATTCTATGATTCTATGATTCTATGATTCTATGATTCTATGATACAGGCTTAAAAATAATGAGGTTTAAGTGCAGTTGAGGTTTGAGTACTTTTTGTTTGCCTTCTGGCTTAGAAAACTTTAGAATATGTGATGTCCATATTTTTCTGCATTTCTTCATGACTGTCAGTGCTCAGAAGTCAATTTAAGAATTGAAAAAAAGCCCCACCCCAACATTACCAAGAAAATGCAACAGACCAAACATAA